TCCTCTTTCTCGGATACCCCTGAAATTTATTATTTATTCATTTATTTTATTTATTTAAAACATTTCTATGCCGCCCCATTCACCGAAGCCTCGGGGCGGCTCACAACATAAATTAAAATATAATACATTAAAAATATGAAACAAATTAACAATATAAAATAAGTCACCCTGAAATGGCATCTTGTACCACCTGGGGGTAAGTCCCCCCCCCCAGGTTAGGACCCCCTGTACTGGGCCAAGGTATGAGGAAGCGTATGCCTCTGTAGGCCAGAGGTTCCCAGCAGCTATTCTAGCATGGTCTATAAATTCCGCCCCCACTTGCCAATAGGCTTATGATCCAGCCTGAAATTCAGCCAAAGTTTATCTCCCCCAACTCCTGTTTGACAGCTCCAAATGACTTGTAAACTTGGATGCTCAGCCCATGTCTTGATTCTATACTACAATCAATGCAAAATGTGGTTTTGTATGATGTCTGAATTAAGCCAATAGCTCATGATAACCTCTGGGTGCTGATTACTATAATGATGAGAAGATTTGCCAGGCCCTCCACACTGAAAAGCAAACTGAGAAAGAAGCAATGCAGCTGCAGTTGTAATTGTGCCTGCACATGAACACTTCATTTACAGAATGAAGTGTAAATGAACATGTGTGCTTATGCAGGCATGGCTTGTGTGTGAAGAAATATGTGCACATATGCATGGCAGACAATCATGCTAAAATTAGGGAATAGCCAGTAATATGTCTTCTCTGTGGCGGATAGTGGAAAAACAGTCTCATTCCTGATTACTTACCAAATCCTTAAGTATGCCATCAGTTTCTACAGTCTCCTAGCAGCTTAGCAGGAGAGCCAGCCTTATTCCCTCTGGACTAGAGAAAAAATAAAAAAGCAATTTACACACAGAGAATGAGAGAGAATTTGCAGTGAGATACTTGGGGTGAGAAGTAGGAGAAAGATTCTGGGAGAGTCTGCTCCTCAAGTGAGGTTGATCACATAATGGCTGGGTTCAGATGACACGGCTAACACCCCTGCACTGTTTCCACAAAATGCAGATCACAAAATGCCTGAACTTACCGGTCAGATGATCATGTGCTTCCTTGGGTAGCAAAATTTCTGCAGTCCCTGCTTTCTCCTCCTGGTCTCGTCACACACCCCAGCAGCCCCTGTGAGAAAACTCCCCATTCTTTCCTTAGACTTGCCTTTGGACCATAGCAGCCTCCTCCTGGTTGGTCCACAGCAGTACTCAGGCAGTTTTGTACTTTCCCCTCCTTAGGGCTTCCCAGCCACTCCAATCCAAACAGAGATTTTTATTAAATGAAGACAAGCAGTTTGACTGTGATTCTCCCCATCTTCATCTGTATCTTTTCCAAAAGGAAACAGGGAGATAGACACATTGTTTGGCCAATGGAGATAAAGGACTCAATGATGTGCCTGTTGCTAGGGGGCTGAAGGCAACAGAGACCAAAGGTTAGAAGTAGCCACTTACAAAACCACTCTTGCCAGGGGACTCCACGGTGTGTTTCCATATCAACAATGGTAAAATGCCAATCCCATGTCTGAACAACCAGAGAAGCCACAGTGAAACGTAGAGCCTTAGAAAAGACTGCTGAGTCTCTCCATGGTTTCAAAAACCAAATCCTACCACCCGATGACACAACAGGCCCACAACAGCAAGATTTCACCATGGCTTTTGTGCTGTGCAAACCCTGCCCAGTATGTCTATTAGAACCAAATAAAACCCAGAAAATATTAAGCTAATTTTTGGGTTTCACAGAACTCTCTCTTGGCAAAGAAACAAAAAAGGGTGGAGGAGATGCTGCTTACAGAGACGATGGTTAAAGCCCAGTCTGTACAATTTTACAGCAAAAACAGCAAAGAACATTGTGGCACCTTAAAGATGGGAACATTTATTCTGCCATAAGCTTTTGTGTACTATAGTATAATATTTATGAAATGTTATCTTAACGCTCGTAAATTGTTATACACATATGGGTGTGGGGAGAGGAGATGTAAACTGTGTTGCAGAGAGAAATTAAGTGCAAAAGGTATGCATTACTTTAACATTGCCGTTCCCAAAATGTTGTTTTGTGGGTGATAAAACAGATATCCTTGCAGTAGTGGACTGTTTATCATGGTGTGAGATTAGAAACACACACTTTCATTTCTGTTCAAACTACAGGAAATACAATTGAATCTCTTGATGAATTGCACTTCAGGGATTTGATATCAGCTGATATTTGATATCTGTCTTTGCATCTCCTTTGTTCAATAATAAAGTGCCTCCTCATTTTAGCCATCTTAAGTATCCTGGAAGGCTGAAATGCTCCATGACTGGTTTCAAAACATTGCCATAGATCTGATGTCAGATTTGTGTCCATTTAGCTTTTATCATTTGCTAGCTATGCCCTATTGCATTCTATATAGGAAAAATAAGCCAGTCTTTGCACAAAAGAATAAATGGACAGAAGTCTGACATCCGGAAAAGCACTGTTCAGAACCATTTTGGGTGGACAGTCTGTTTTCTGTAGCTTTGAACTACTGGTTCTCCCCCAAGAAATATTATACAGCTTTATGTCCTGCTTATGAATTATGACCATTTGTGAGAAATGCATGCACACTTAGATAACTAAACTGTAACAGATTTTATGTTGGACCACTAAGGACTTTTCAAAAGACCTCTTATTACTCTGAAATAGGTCACTTACGCATGTGCTTTGTATGTCTATGGAAAGGAAAGGAATTTAAAATTGAACATGCAATATAGCCATGCATTGTAGCTACATTCAACATATAAATATGGAAAATGCAACGTGATTTAAGCATTGCTTCTGAAAATGGGCTTGCAACTACTTTTTACACTCTCCTGAACATTCATCTCATGAAAATCTAATAGCTCACATGCCATACCCTTAACAATTTGCATGACTTTCATGTAGATTTGATACAACACAGAAATAGCTAAATCACCTCAAAATACAATTCTTGTGCTTTTGGAGGGTGTCTATGAGTGCAAAGAATGGCCCACAACAATGCATAGAAAGGAATGGCACTATGAATCAGTTGGTTTTAGGAGAAAAATTAGGAGTGAGATAGTAAATTATGAACATGTTTTGTTTGGAGACTGTTGAACATTGTCTAATGAAATCATCACCAGAGACACTAAGAATGCTATTTAGGAGAGCTGTGGCTATTATTTATTATAAGTCTAGAGCATGTCACTTGTTAATATGGGAAGTACATGGAAAAGGGGTATTTTAAATCAAACATGTATTTATCAATTTTTCCCAGAGGCAAGGAATACAAAAATATGTTAAGCATAATGTGAGGTGAGGGCTTAATAACGCCTGTCCTGTTGTACTCTTATGGAAGCCACTTTCACAGAAGCTGGGGTCTCTAGTCTTTTGGGTCTTGTGGGCACACTTGGCAATTTTTAAAAAGGCCCCTGGTCATCACCACAAATTAGCTGCTGCAGAGGCATGGAAGGCTAATCACAAAAGTGTTCAGAGTACTACCACCATTTATTTGTGTGTTTCTGCATGGATGTACATAATGTATGTGTACTATTTACTCTGGGTTCTCTCTCTCTTTTACTCCTCTTTCCATCCATCCATCCATCCATCCCTTTCCTTCCTTCCTCTGGAGGGCATGATGCATTCCAATGGAGCAAAGCTCAAGATTCAAGTTGGATGCCAGGAAGTACTTCCTGAGAGTTAGGACCCCTAGGGCATGGAATGGGCTTCCACAGGAGGTGGTTGAAGCCCCATCAGTGAGGGTGTTTAAGGATAGGCTGGACATATCTTTGGTAGCCATGGTAGCCATGTCATGAGCAGAACCAGCAGGAGCTCTGGGTCAGACTGGATGGCCCAGGAGAACCCTTCTGACTCATTCTGTTTCTATCTCTTCTGCTCCTCTCTGCACCTCTTTCCTTCCATCCATCTGCCTTTTCATTCTTTCCCTAAATCACTGGCTATTTTCCTTCTCTCTCTGACTCCTCTTTCTTTTCTTCTCTCACTTTCTCCCTCATTCTCTCCGGTTCTTCTTTGTCTCTGGTCCCCCGCCCCCATGTACCTTCTGTTTTATTTGTCTCCCTCCACTTTTCCATCTTCTTTCTTTCTAACCCTTCTATCCATCTTCCTTTTTCAATTTTTTATTCTCTCCCTGGGTCCTTTTCCTTCTATCCTTCCCTTTTGGCTTCTCTCCCTCCCTCCTAGAATTGCTCTGATAGAATTGCTCCACTTACTGGCAGAGGAGCAAAACTGCTTGGTGGGCACTTCAGCCTGGCCTTGGGGGTGCCATTGATCCTTTGGGCACTATGTTGGAGGCACGTGCGCTAAAACAATCCCTTTAAAAAGTTCGTGTTAATGATTGCAATGCAGTGGGCAAGATTTTGGGGTTAAGAGCATACAAAGATCGGTGCTAGATGAGAGCAAGGAACTGCCTAGTCAGCATTCTCCTCCTGCCTGGCCAACTCTCTGCCCTGGGAAACCCACAAATAGGCCATGGGTGCTCCAGCGCCCTTCGCCCTGGATTGCTCAGCGACTGAGAGACGCGTGCCGCCTCCCTCTTGATAGCCTTCCCCTCCATGGGAATCATGGCCTCTCCTCTGCTCGCCTCCCCCAGCTTTTCCTTAACAAGGAATCAAAAGATGTTTCTAGGTGGAGGCTGGTGGTTTCAGTCATTAAGACGATAATAAAGAAGCGTTTGCATGCTGCCAAGCAGCCAGGTCCCTGCATCACATCTGGGGGATAAAATCAGTCTTGAGCCTCCCCGCTGGAGGCCTGTGTCTGCGCAAAGGAAGAGGCCAAGAGGGCAGTTTCCAGACTCTTGGAAACGTTGCACTGAATTCCCCCGGGAGAAGGGGAGGGGGAGGAAAGGCGGGAGCTGGGGTCGGGCCAACGTTGGGAGCTCTTCGGCGACTCGGCCCTCGCTCGCAGGAGCTTGCCCCCGAGGCCGTCCCACCTTTTGTGTGCAGCTCCATGTGGGAGGGAGAGGAGGAGCCTTGGAAGTAACTTTGGCCTCCCCAAACTACCTTTCGTTGTCAGCTGGGCGTGACGTCAAGGCCGCTGCCGCGCCGTGCAAGGTTGTGTCCACATGTGACCAGCTTAAACTAGTTCTGAAGACACAAAGGGAAAGGAGCGGAAGATAAGGAGCCAGATAGCGGAGCCGGCGGTGGCGGAGCGGAGCCAGCGCAGCGCCGGGAGACTGACTGAGCCGTCGGCGATTCAGCCCTTCAGCATCCATCCAGGCAAGTCCCGGGCGAACTCTCGAGCGCGAAAGTTCGCCGCGGGCGGGAGCGCGGGAGCAGCAGCCACGCGCGCGCGGCGTCGGGCGACGCGCCTCGCAAAGGAGTGCCGTGGGGAGGGGGCGCGGGCAAAAGGAGAGGCGAGCCCAGCCTGACCCCTGTTTGGGAAGAGCCCCCTCTCTCTGCTCCCAAGAAACAGGGACCCCCCGATTTGGCAGCAGCCTCCTGGTCGCAGCTTTACGGACTGTTCTTGACCTTCCTCTTCCCAGCCCCATCAAGCGCTTGCAGCTGTGGCTTTCGGAGAACTCTAGCAACCCCGAGCGAGCGAGCGAGCGAGCGAACATCCGCTCCCTTCCCGCGACTCCCGCAACGTTCGCCCAGCTCCGAGGCAGACTCTTCCAGAGAAAGGGGGCAGGGGCCGAGAGAGTTACCTTTGATTACTGGGGTGGAGGGAGGTGCAGAAATCCTCCGTAAAGTCACGGGGCGTCTTTTCCCCTTCTCTTTGGGAAAGGGACAGAAGTGATGATGCTCTAGTTGGAGAGCCTAATTGGGGGCGCTTTATTGTGGTGGTGCCGAGAGTGGCTGCATGATGGAATTTGATGTCGATCTCTTTCGCGTGGATTTCTTTCGTTATGTTCGTGGGGGATACTCAGTGTTATTCCTAACCAGAGTAGATCCTAACCCTAACCTATTGCAATGAATGGAATATTTTTAGCTCAGTCAGAAAGCCCTTTATGGTGGAGGGAGGAGGGAACTGATTGTCGTGGGCTATTTTTGCGTGCCAAGACTTGCCCCAGAAAGAGGGCTTTTTGCGGGGAAATTTCAGAACTCCTTCCAAAGCTGTAAGGGCCACCTGTGCCTGGTTGCTGGCTGCCAAGATGCTGTGCTGTTGGGCACACTGGCACTGCCTGAGGAACCAGCAAGCATGTACCTCACTAACAATAATACCCCTGCAGTTCCCCCTGGAAATCTGGGGGATAAAAGGACTGGGGCTGGAGCAAGGAGATCCGTCTTTCATACTGTTTCTGTCAGTGTGTACCAATGCTTAGGATACAGATCCTGTGCTTCTCCACCTGTAGCTGCCATGGTGTGTTGCTTCTGTGTCTGGAGTGCCAATATGCGTGAACTCTCTGGAACCATGTATCAGGAACACCCCCCCCCTTCTCTCTGTAATAGTCCAGGAGAGCTTCCAGATAAGAGCTGTATATCCAGTGAAACAGCAGAGGGGGAAAGCCACAGCTTATCCACTCTGGCTGTGACCGCTACAAAATGGATGCAAAGTTCTGAGTTAGTCAATCTTTGTTTCATGAGATTGAGCACGCACCTTGACTATCTCTTAGTAAACTTGACTATCTCTTAGTAAACTTTCTTCTACCCTGACATGCACCTCTGAAACAAAATAGTGCATCTGGATTACTTCTGCTTCTGGCACACTTTAAACTGGATTGTTTGGGCTAATGCTGTTAGTGCTTAGACTAGAGGTGTTGTTAAGGGGAGGAGGTAATCTTGATTGTTGCAGGGGTCTACAACAAATGACCTTCAGATGCTTTCCAGTTCTTGCCATTCTAAAGCAATTTAAGTTGTGGAGTTTGAGAGTACTGGAACTCACATATGATTTCAGCAGAGAAGAGACATTTTAATTACTGTTGGTCCTTTCAGCATGGTATAGAACTGCATTTCTGCGCTGTGCTCCAGTTTGAAACTTAGGTGGGGAGCCATGTATTTGGAACTTGCTTCTGATGCAAAGCAAGGAGGTTTGCTCTAAGCAGAACACCTCAGTTCAAAAGCTTGTGCTCCCTACCCTAAAGAAAAATGAGGGAAGGTTGGTGTTTCTCCCCATCTGTGGTTCCAGGAAGTCTCCCCATGAAATTAGGTCATCACCCTCCCAACATACACATGCAAAAACTCACACATGCACTTTCTAATTCTAATTGTGTTTTTGTATTATGAGAGGGATAGTCCCTTTTCAACTCCTTTCTGTTAACTATTGTGGCCATATTTCTAAATCCTTCTTACCAAGGCCTTTTCCTAGAGCTCAGCATATTTCCTCTACCAAGCCTTACCTTCAGTTTACTTAGCACTGGGGATTCATCCGGACTCTTAGGGATATAGTTCTTAAGGATATAGCTTAAGGATATAGCAATAGCCAGAGTGTGTAAAAATGTACCTCTAAAAATCTCTCTTAACTTCTCAGTCTGGTTCTAAAACAGGAATAATCTGTCTATTTTAGACCAAGTGCCAAATGTTTACTAACAGTAGATTATCTTCTCTGTTCTGAGAATTGCAACTATTGTTGCCATGTGGAATACCACAAGGACAGAAGGTAGGACCACTCTGACATTGCCCATGCCAAGTGGCTGCTCCCCCAGTGCCTGCAGGTACACACTCTCTTCAGGGGGCATCTGTGTGTGTCAGGCCCCCTGCCCATGGGCGTTTGCAGTGTACATACAAGTGCCAGGGGGAGGGTCTAGGATCTGCTTACTGCATGCAGAGTTGCAGCCGGGTTTTTTGTTTGTCACGGCATCATTAGTGCCTGCATAGGGCTCCTAAGGAGTTAAAATGTGATCACTTTAAAATGGTAAGCAAGAATCACGGCATTCTACAGAATTTGCACCTTGTTTATATGCCACGACAGCACTGAGACCTCTGGCTGTGCCTCCTTTGATTCTCTCTTGGATGCCTTGAATTTCTCTGTAATAATACTATTCTACCCTTGAAATAACCTATGCTGTGATCTGTTGAGATTTGCTGCTAAAATGGAGAGGGGCATATTGGGGTTTCTCTTGTCCCTTATTGGTTATGCATGGTAAATAATGACAAACCTACTGGGAAGCCCTCCATCATCAGAGTTTCATTTCTCCTGCACTATCATAGCTGTGTTGCACTGCCTGCTAGCCAGAGGAGTGTTGGGAGTACCCGTATCTGCTGTACCTCACCAGCTTTGTCCTCCAGCCATTCCTGAAACTACTTTCAAGTAATCCCATATGTGTTCATGCCATCTTCCACAGAACCAAAGTTTCCTTCTGTATTCCCTCTTTAACTGATATAGTCCTTTTCAATTGCTCCACTGTTTGGAATGCCATATTAGAAACAATGTTCCTGCTCTTTTCCTTTCTTTGTGGGATTCTCAGCCATGCTGGGTCAGACCAAGGGTCCATCTACTAGTCCAGCGTTCTAGTCCCATAATAGCTAACCAGCTGCCCATGGGAACCCTGCAATCAGAACATGAGTGCAACGGCACCCTTCACCCCATGTTCCTCAGCAGCTAGTGTACATACGCATATTGCTTCATATGCTGAAGGTGCCATATCGACATCAGGACGAGGAGCCATTGACAGCTCTCTCCTCCATGCAAACATCTTTCTGTGTGTGCTGTCAAGAATTGTGATGGTCTCGTAGGATGCCTCCAGATGGAGGGTGTACTTGTTTGTTGTTTTGCTTCAGATGTGCTGCTTTAGGGCACCCAGTACTTGATAACTTCATGGGAACTATGCCAGCCCTCTTGCTGAGTGTTGCCGGCCTGCATGGCAGGTAATATCCGTAGAGGATGGGTTCTAGTAACATAGCCTAACTAGCTCATTAGTACAAAACTTCTGCAATGTTTGGTTCCTATCCCTTGGTGCTGAGATTTTGTGCATGTCTAGTCAGAAATAAGTTGCACTGACAGGCTGGTGCCCTCCAGATGTTTTGTACTACAGCTCACATCAGTCCCAGCTTGCATGTCAAATGTTCCAGGATTAGGCGAATGGAATCCAAGCTATCTAGAGGACGTTGAGTTGAAGAAGACTACCCTAGTATATAAGGTTGAAGGTTCAGATACTGTTTTCTTCCTTTTCCAAGAGGACATTGCAGCCTGAGGTCCCAATGGGAGAAGACTCAGTCAGGATGCAGCCTTGTAGAGCCTGTTTGTTCAAGGTATAACACGGTGAGAATGTACCATGGGAACAATAGCTACAATGAGGAAAAGAAGATGGCCGAAAGTAGGGAGTGGTAGAGGAGGAGGCAGGGAAGGTAGGATCTGAAACATGTCAGGAGACAGCTTGAGAGGAGGGAGGTGGGGAGGGGGGAAGGGGAGAACGGCCTTGTTGCAACTGCACTTGGCTCTTGAAATCCAGAAGGTTGCTAACTGCAGGGGAAAATAAGGAAAGGTGGCCTGATTCTAATATGTTTTACTAAGGAGCCTTAGCTGAGAAAGTCTGAAACAGCCAAGGGGAAAACAACTAAAGAAAGGACTGAGGGAAGGCATGTGGTTGCTTTCAAAACAGAGGAAGAAGCAAATGCCAGAACCTCTACTGTAATAGAAACTGCATTGTTTGAAATTGCTGTAGATAAAATGCATCATATGCACACAAGCACAAATATCAACTGCTATCATTTACTAGAAACTTTTTCTTAAAGGATATTAGAAGTTCTCAGAGAACTCATATATCCGTCCCCCCACACACCATCATTATGAACCAGAACTTCCAAACTGTTCTGTGTTTCTGAAATGTTGTACTGGTGACATTTGTAGAAGTTGGTAAAGACGAATGCCACAAAGAAAATGAATGGCATTTCTTGAACTCCTTTAATGCCTTGCCTGGTACTCTAGGCTCACTGAAAATTGCAGGAGAAATATTTTAGAAATATTCTGAGTTGTTTCATTTGTGCCCACTTTCATTCTGAGCTTCACATGAATTAAGGTGCAGTCCTAGGAACATTTAGTTGGGACATGCTGAGAGTTGTAAGATTCCTTTCTGTCTAGCTTATGGTGCAATCCTATGCAAGTTTAGACACAAAACAAGACCTACATTCCAGCATTCTGTAGGCCTTTTTCTGCCTAAATTTGCATAGAATTGTGCCTTTAATGTGTTAAATATGGCCATTTTCTGAGTGATAGATTTTCTTATTCCAGCCTTCTTCACTCTGTTAGGTGATCAGCTTATTAATTAAGAAAGCATGGTACTATAACAAGTGTCTCATAAACAAGTAACCACATGACAAGAACAATTTATCACATGGAA